GCTAAAGACTATTAAAAGCAATCTGGGGTGGAGGGTAGCAGCAAAAATGTCAAAGTAAAGACCTCTGAAAATGTTCTCTCACAGAAAAGGAACGAAAACCCAGAAATTATCAGAATCAACTTGCTCAGAACACTGGAAATTAACAAAAGGCTCACAGCAACTTCCAGGGTTTTTGCTCAGGTTAAAGAGCTGAATCTCAGTTAAAACAGTGAGGTTTGTAGTGTTTTTTACTTGCCCAAATCCCATTTTCTATTCTTAACTCACCAATAGCTTTGAAAAATAATTCACATTCCTGGTACAGCCTGGAAGGCCCCTGAGAGAAGAGAACAAAGACAGAGCTCGCTCAGAGCCTCCTCCCCAAATATTTGTCATGATGTGGTATTTGGTGATTCCCTGGAAGACCATTTCAAGGCTATTTGTATTTGACCTGACCTGGAGCCTACCCAGGGTGAAAAGCCTCTTTCCTGGGGATCAACTGTCATATACATTTATAGGCAAGTGTTTTCACCTTGCAGCTGTCTGAGAAGTGGATAATAGTTACAGCAAAGAAAACACTAGATAGAAAAAAAAAATTTAAAGCGGAGGAGTAAGACATCCAGAGGGCATTTGAAAAACTCCAACACTTGGTGAAAATAGAATGCTACATGGCATATATTCAGGAAAGACTTCAGAGAGCTCTAAACTCTTACCTCTGACTTTGAGGTTCTAGATCTAGATAAACAAGAAATAAAAGGTGAAGGCCATCTGTCAACTGCAACTGTGTAGCAGAATGCTGATGTCATGCCCTAGCAGACACATGGACCCACTCAGAGAGGTACAGACTCCAAGTATTTAAGGAAATCTCTGTTCAATCCCTGGATGACACTAAACTGAGCAGACAATCCAGTAGCCACACTGATGGAGAATACAGATGTTACAGAATTAGTTCCCAAAAGCCACTAAACAAAGAACAACATCTACAATAAGCATCATCAACAACAAATATGGATAGGAGAGTAATTTGATTTTCAGAAGTATCATATATTATTGAAAATGTTCAGTTTTCATCAAAAAGCTACAAGACATCTAAAGATACAAGTAAGTATGGCCCATATACAGAAGAATAAAAGCAATCAATATAAATGATCTTTGAGGAAAGCCAGATGGCAGATGTAGGAGACAAAGATTTCAAATCAGCTATTTTAAATACATTCAAGGATCTAAAGAAAATCTTGTCTAATGAACTAAATGAAAATATGAGAATGATGTCTCACAAAACAGAGAATATCAATAAAAAGAAATAATAACTAGAACCAACTAGAAATTATGGAGTTGAAAAGTATAGTCATTCAAATGATGAATTCTCTAGAATAGGTTTTAGACTGGGCTTCAGGGATGGAGGATGATGAAAACCAAACAGATTTTAAGAGATATGTTGGACACTGTAAAGTTTATCAAAATATAGGCAAGGGGAATATTAGAAGGAAAGGAAAGAGAGAAAAGGGTACAAAGAATATTTGAAGAAATTATGGCCAAAAACTTCTCAAATTTGATGAAATACATGAATCTAAACATCCAAACTTGAACTCTACGTGGGTTAAGCTAAAAAAAGATCCATACCTAGACACGTCTTAATCAAACTGTCAAAATCAAAAAGACTAGAGAAAGCAAGAGTTACTTCTCACATATAAGGGATTCTAGTATGTCTAGCACATAGTTTCTTATAAACCATGCAAGACAGCAGATGATACAGGACATATTCAAGGTTTTGAAAGAAAAATACTGTCACTCAAGAATTCCTTATCCAGCAAAACTATCCTTTTAAAATGAAAGAAAAATTAAGACACTCCTAGATAAGAATAGAGATTATTAGGTCTCATGAGACCACTCCTACAAAAAATAATAAAGGATAGTATAGAAAATGTAGCTCTTTCTTTTCCTGTATTACTTAAAAGACAACTACATAAAGCAATAATTATAAATGTGTATTGGGATTCCAACACACAAAGACGTAATTTGTCACAAAAACAACATAAAGCAGGCAGAAAGGATGGAGCTATATAAAAACAAGGATTTTTTTATAGTATTGTAATTAAGCTAGTATTACTATACACTAGAGTACTACATGTTATTATGTTAATTGTGATACTCAGGGAAACCACTAAGAAAATAACTCAAAATATATAATAAAAAATCAAAGGGCCCTAAAATGGTACACTAGAAACATCTTTTTAACACACAAAACAGAAAATGCTTTAAATCCTACAGGACTAATTTAACATGTAGACTACACATCTACTATGAGTCCAAGAAAGAGAAAGAAAACAGAGAAAGAAAGGATAATCAAAGACCTAACAGCAGACATTTCCCCAGCAAATTTTTTCTTGAAAGTATCGAACAATAATTAGAACAAATACAATTCACTCTGGTGCACGATATCTAGGTATGTAATTTATACACAACATCTTTCCAGAAATGAAAAACTATAAATGTTTTTAAAATACACAGAAGAACAATTTCAGAATCATGAAGGAGGAGATATTTTAAAGTAAAAAAGAATCCTCAAAAGCCACATATTTTTAAATTCAGCTTTTACATAATAAAAAGCACTCCTATATTAAGAAAAACCCATTTCATTATAAATTAAAAGACAACAGATTTGAATTGGTCACCTAGACAAGTATTACTATACTAAGAAATCCCACAAATAAATGAAACCCATCTTCAGACAAAGCTAACATGCAATTCACATAAAAAAATCCAAATAGGATATGAAAGCTTACTAGTTGGTTTATTTCTGTCACATCTATCTTTGTTCTCTTTTTCCTTTTTTTTTTCTGAATTCTTTTAGATTAATTAGGCATCTTTAAACTTTATTTTACCTCCATTGTTGGTTTCTTAATCAACTGTTTTGGTGGTTACTTAGGGTTTACAAGTATGGGGTATGATCAAAATAGATGGTGAATGTTTAAATTTTTTAAATCTATTACAGAGAAAGATGCATAATCCCCTTCAAAATACTCCCCTTCACTTTAAACACATTTATCCCATTCTTCTTGCCACTTTCTGAAACAGTTCTGGAAGTCTGATTTCATGAGTATTTTTCCTAGTTGTGATAAATATACAGCGAATGCTGCTGCCCAGTGCCATCCAGTAGAAAGGCAGGCCCAGAAAAACATTACAGTGTGTCCTCATCCATCTTATTCACCAGCTGTGGAATTGTGCAACTTCTGGCTCTTCCCAATGTCCATGAAAGGTAAATGTTTTGAATCAATCAAGGACATCAAGGCAGCCATAACAGTGCAAATAAAGACACTCATGCAAGAGGACTTCCAGAACTGCTTCAGAAAGTGAGGAGAACAATGGGATAAGTGTGTTGGAAGTCAAGGGGGAGAATTAATGGCAGTGTGTCAAGGGGATTAATGGCGGTGTGTCTTTTACTGTAATTATCTTTCTTTTATTTAAACAAACATTCGCCATATTTTTCAATCACACCTCAGACATATCTTTAATGTATTCAAGTTTACCTTCAAGTGACATTACACTTCTTCATATATAGTTTAATAATTTTACAATGTATATTTCTATTCCCTCAACTCTGTATTATGCTTTTCATACAGTTCTCTTGTACAAATGTTAAGAACCTCACAATACATTGGTATATTTTTCTTGTTTCTTGTTCTTTTTATGCATTGAGCTTCTTGTATCTATGGAATTATAGGTTTTATTCAATTTTGAAATTATTATTTTATCAATTATTTCTTCGATTTTTTTCTGTCCACCCCTACTCTCATATATTAGCCTTTTTCAAATTGTTCCATACAGCTCACTAGTGTTCTATCCATATATTTTAAAAGTATTTTTTTCTCTGTGTGCTTCATCTTGGATTATTTCAAATGCAATATCTTTGAGTTCACTTATCTTCTCTGTTATCTAATCTGCCTCATCCAGTGGATTTTTCCCTCTCTTACATTGTAGTTTTCATCACTAAAATTTCAACTGGGTTTTTGTATACCTTCATGTGTTCACTTAACTTCTGGAACATATGGAATACAATTATAATAACTTTTAATGTCCTTGTCTGGTAAGTGTGCCCTTGTCTAATACGTGTGTCAGTTTTGCATCATTTCAGTGGGTTTGCTTTTCTCCTGATTTGGGGTCATATTTTCTTCCTAGGAATCTCTGATTGGGTGCTAGACACTGTGAATGTTTCTAGTTGGTGCTGTATACTTTTTTTTATTCCTATGAATATTCTTGTACTTTGTTCTGAGACACTGTTAAATGATCAGGAAACCAACTGGTTATTTTGGATTTTGCCTTTAAGATTTGTTAGAGAGACTACAGCTTTGCTGGGCAGCTTTCAGTCTGGGGCTAATTATTCCCCAGTACTGAGACAGGACCCTTGTGAACACTCCACTCAATGTCCTAGGGTATCGTGGGTCTTCCAGTCTGCATGGTGGGAAACCCTGGTTTTACACCCAGCACTCTTCCCTTTAGTTCTCTCAAATGGTTCTTTCCTGGTCTCACTTTCTTCACATGCAAGAACTGATCAATAGCAACTAAATACTCACAGGGGGTTCTCTGCTGATCTCCAGAATTCTCTACTGAATGACTCTTCGCTGGGACTCTGCTCTGCAAACTTTAGCCACCTCAGGTTCCCAGACTCTCAGTTTAGCCTTCTAAATGGAGCAAGTGTGCCAGGCTCTGCCTCAGTTCTCCCTACCAGAGCTGCATTCTAGAAACTTCTTCCAGAAGGAGGCTGGAGCGACCTTAGGACTCACTGTTAAAAGTATTAGGCCAAGGTAGGAGCAATACCCAGTCAAATTAGACCAGATTTATTTATATCAGCCTACCACTAGTTTGTTTTGTTAGCTGAAACATACTCCTAAAGGTAGTCTATACGAAAGTGAAGTTGGAATGCCAGACTTTCTTGGTATCCTATAGACAAAGGAATCTAAAGGCTTAGGGAGATTGGAACAATGTCAGAGTACATTTACCATGTAAGATCTCATCTATCCCAGGAAGATCGAGAGGACACATCTTCCATCACAGCTGCAAGATATAAATCCACAAGAGTCCCAGCACCCCATGAAGAGCTCTATGTGACTCCTCTCAGTAAGTCAGAAATTACTGAGGGGATTTCTGTGCTACTAGCAAACTCCATCCAGGGAGGGTAACGGGACCCCGGGGTGGTAAGGCACCATTTGGTAGTGCTTAGTCACCAAAAGCCACGTGGATGAGGCCAGGGCCAAAGCCACGATCAGAACAGTCTGCCTCCGAGGTTTCTGGTGTAGGCTGCAAGAGGCTCTGTGTCTCCAGTTCAACTCGGATGTACGCACTTACTTAGGTTGATGAGATTTCGTGACAAAAGTAAACCAAAAAGCCAAATTCCTCAAACATTATAACATAAAATGCAAACAATACTAAAAACACTACCAGATCTATATGATACTCATATTCCTACAGACCAGTTCTTTAACAATAGATTTATATTGCTTTAAAAATTGTGTACTAAATAAATGACAATTTGCTATTTATTTTTTAAAAATCAAAACACGTTTTCAATCTCATGGTTATTCATCTCTCAATAGCATTGATGATTACATACAATCCTGTACACAGCTCATGACTAGTTCACTGAAGTTTTGTTCAATTATACTACCTGAAATGATGTGAAGCACTTTCCATTATTGATACATAAGCCAGCACAAGGTATTTCATTGACTCTTTTGAAAACAGTCGAATCAGAGGTATATAATCTGATTCCAGATTTGGTATCCAGCACAGTGTAGAACCCTATACATTCAATGCAGGGGAGACTATTCTTTAGATCACAGAAAACAAGTGGCCCATATAAAAAGACTACCACAGTAGTATGGAAATACAGTCTTTATGGACATAGCTCTCTCACTTTCAGCATCTGAAAGGGCATACAGAATACTAAGGTATAAATATATATATAATACAAATAGTAAATTATATAATGCTGCACATAAATATATAACTGCATTATATAATTGCACATAACTATAGTATAAAGTATATTGTACATAATTATGTATACACATCCTGTATGTATATATTTACATGTCAATATCTTCCAGCCTTTTCCTTCATCTCCCTCTCAGGGTGCCCGCCTTCCCTGGGTGCTGGTCAGCCCCTCTTGTGCTTTCTGCTAATAGCCGTCTTCCTCCTGCACATGGCTTGCTCTGGGTCAGAAGTCTGCACTCCCCTTCATCCACCCTGTCTGTCCCAGAGTTCAGAGCGATGCAAAGAGAAGACAGAACAGAGCCTGTGTATGGGAGGCTCATGCAGGGGACCTGCAGAGGGAAGCTGCTGCCAGCATCAGCAGGACCATCCTATCCATTCTCGCACCATCACCACCACCCCCCCCAGCTAGCCCTGCAGGCGTCTGCTATGGCTGTGTGGCCGCAAACTGCTTTTTCAAAGCACCCTACAGGACAGATATTCTCTCTGCAGAGAGGGCAACTCAGTGTGTCAGGCATTGTGGGGAGAGTGGGCTAACAAGCCAAGGTACCCCCTAGAGTGAACTAGAATGCTCAGAGCAGGATCTTCAGCTCATACTTCCAAGGAGATAGGAACACATTGTTAGGGTAGAGAGAACACAGGAGCCTGTGATGAAATAATTACTGAAATCAAAATGCCAATCTATTCCCGCTATAGAATCCTGGGCAAGGTACTTACCTTTCTAAGTCTTCCTTTTATAGCACCACAAGGCTTCATACTTAACCCCAAAAAATCTCAGTTCTACTTCTTAGGCCCTGGGGAACCACTGAAAGGCTTAAAGAACAGGAGTAACAGGCCCTTTATATTTTAGATAATTCTATGGTTCAGATTGGGCTGGAGTGTGTCCCCAGGTGTTGAAAACTCGATCCTCAGTGTAACAGCATGACAGGTGGTGGGCCTTTAAGAGTTCAGCCTAGTGAAAGGTGATTAAAACATCAGGAATGTGTCCTCAGAAGGAATTCACGCTAGCCTCATGGAATTAGTTCCCATAAGACAGGGTTGTTATGAAAAGAACAAGAATTCTTCCTCCCTGGTCTCGGACTTCCTGCCTCCTCATGTGAAGTCTGCTGCGTGTACTGTGGCCAGGGAACCATCTGTCCTGAGGACCACCAGCGGCCAAGCAGAGAGTCCAACTGATCTTGTACTTTTAGTTCCCCCAAATGTTAGCTAAATAAACTTCTTTTCTTTATAAAGTGCCCAGAATCAAGAGTTTTATTATAAGGGCCAGGGATTTAGCTCAGTGGTTCCGGCGCCTTACTCTCAAGTGGGCAAGGTCCTGAGTTTGATCCCTGGTACCAAAAAAAAAAAGAGTTTTATTATAGCAATAGAAAACAGCCTAAAACAGATACTAACCCTTGTGTGTGAATACACAGAATGGATTTGAGAAGAACCAAACTCTTAGCACAAAGATCTGTAAGGAGGCTTTTGAAACCACTGTGAGAGAAGACAAGAGTCTGTGCTAAAACAGGCTGCTCAAGGAACAGGGGAGAGGGGGCCAACTGGATAAATATGAAAGTAGTAAGAATGAGAACTTATGGTGAATGAACATGAAGGAGGTAGGAGGAGGGTGTGAGAGTGATTCCCAACTTCTAGGCCAGGTGGGAGCAATGCCACCAACTGAGAAAGAAAATACTAATGGACAAGATGATATCAAGGAATACAATTCAAATGATATACAAGAGAAAAGCCATGGAGCAGAAAGATAATGCTTACATGAAATGTTTTAAGTGGAAAAAGGAGTATTTTGGAGTCAGAGAGCTTTGGATTCAACCCTTAGATTATTGTTTCCGAGCCTGGGAGTCCTCCCCACTCTTCTGAAATAGGAAAATCTAGAGCTTGTGGTATAGCTCAGTAGTATAGTACTTGCCAAACATGCCCTGGGTTCAGTCCTCAGCACCACGAAAGGAAAACACTAGCCACTTTCCCATTGCTGACAAACCATACCCACCAAAACCTGTGACATAAAGGGAGAGAGGCATATTTTGGCTCACAGTTTCAGGCCATAGTCAGTAGGCACCGAAGCAGAAGCAGCACAGCAGAAGGGCATGGGAGAGCAATGGGTGTTCAACTCATGGCAGCCAGGAAGCAGAGAGAAAGAGAAGGGTCAGAGATAAGAACACACCCTTCCAGGTCATGCCCCCATTGACCTACCTCCAACCAGGCCCCACCTCCTAATAGCAGGTTGGCTGTAGTGCCTCCACGATCCAATCACCTTCCAAATACACGAGACATGTGAGGGACATTTTATATCTAAGCCATAACATTCCACCTCTGAGCCCCCAAATGCTCTTGTACATCTCATTATGCAAAATGCATTTAGTCCATCTCTAAGAGTTGCCAAAAACATTTCCAGCATTGCTGAAAAGCCCAACTCCAAAGTCTCTTCTAAGACTCAAACTCTTAGTTGAGAGCCCCTGTAAAAATCAAAAAGAAAGTTGTATACTTACAACGTACAATGCCACAGGGTAAACAGTCACATTCTAAGACAGAGAAATTGGAGGATAAAAAAGAATCAGATCAAAGCAAGACCAAAACCCAGCAGGATAAATATTAACTGCTGTAGCTCTCTGTCCAGCACCAGGGGCAAGATATTGGTTCCAAAGGGTTTGGGCAGCTCCATTCCTATGGCAGTACCAGTTGTAGCACTCATGGCCTCTTTCTCAGGGTGGCTTCACTCACTGACCACAGCTTTTCTTAGCAAACATTCCACATTCCTGGCATCTCCAACTTCCTGGGGTCTCCACCATGTTTCTGCCTTCACTCTCATACCATCATCCACAGCCTTCTCAGGCACACATTGTTCAGTCTCCCAGGCCTTCTTCTAAAATCTTAGTGGAACCCTTCATGACCCCATAGCTCTTGCACTATGGATGCCTGTAAAACCAGTAGTATGTTGATGATGCTAAGGCCTGCTGCCAATTCTAGGTGTACCCAGGCCTCCCTAGATCATGGCTGCAGAGGCCTCTGCATTCCTAGATGGCCAAGCATGGTGAAATAAATCCTAGGGAACAAAAATCCCTAGGTGACCTTTCTCAAGTAGGGGGCCCAGGTGTTCACTTATCAAATAAAATCTTTATAGTCATGCACTCCTATGCAGGTGAAGGGTGGGCTCTTGCTGAATCGTGACATGCCTTCAGTCCATTTTTCCTATGCAAAGTAGTTGGCTTATATTTAATGTAAATCTTTTTAGCAACTAGCTCTCTAAGGCTGGTTGCAGGTACCAGCTTTACAAGTACTTCCATTCTGGGAAAACTAGAAATTATATCTTTTGATTCTGTCTTTTCTTTGTCTTATCTTTGGTTCTGTCTGTTCTTGATTCTGGCTAAAAGCAACCAGCAGTACTCATGATACAGCCTGAACACTGAGTTGCTTTCAAATTTCCTCTATCAGATTAATTAGTCTACCATCCTTAATCACAGTCTCCCACAAAGTCTCAGGACATGGGCAAAGTATAGACAAATTTTCTGCCACAGTATAGCGCATGGCCTCTAGTCCAACTTCCAATGGAATCTTTCTTCCCAACTGTAATCTCCTGAGCCAGGCCTTTACATTTCATATTCCTGTCAGCATTCTGGTCTTCTGAGCTCTAACCCATAATTGCACATTAACTGCCGCTCACAACATTCTGAGGTTTCCCTAGCTTACTTCTCCAAACTCTTCCCACAAAGAAGTTCCAAAGGCTTCTAAAACCACATGGCCAGGTACAGTCACAGCAGTGAACCCAACCCTGGTACCAAAATATGTCTTAATCACATTTGCATTGCTGAGATGCAATACCCAACATCAGCAACTTAAGAGAGGTTTGTTTTGGTTCATAATTTCAATCCATGCTCTTAATCCATGGTAGACAAGCTCCAAGGCAGAAACAGGATGGTAGAGGGGCCATGACAGAGCAAAAGGTGCTCAATCAATGGCAGCCGGGAAGGAGAGAAAAAGAGAGAGGGAAAAAGGGAGAAGGACAGGTAAAGGGGGGGGGGAGGGATAGAGGGAGGAAGGGAGGGGGAGAGGGAGAGACAAAGACAGACAGAGAGACAGAGAGAAAGAGAGGAGCCAAGGACAAGAATACACCCTTCCAGGTCACAGCCCCAGTGACTCACCACCATCAGGGCCTACTTCCTAACAGCAAGTCAGTTATGCTAATCCCACACTCCAAACACATGCGGTATTTGGTGACATTTTAGATCTAAACTATAATTAAAAACCTACTCTTGCCAGAAATGCTAAGGAAAAAAAGGCACAAAAGTCACACGCAGTGAATGTTTAACGTCATTAATTACAGTATTTTCATGGGTACTACTCTGGATAGAGCATTTTTTGGTCAAGTATATAGAATTTGTGATGGTTATTTTCATCTCTCATTTTATCTGGCCCACAGTCCCCAGATTTTGGTCAACCCTAGTTTAATACTGTGAGAGTATTTTTCAGATGAGGTTAACATTTAAATCAATAGAACAAAGTAGACCACCCAATAATATATGTGGGCTCCATCCAATCAGTTAAGGACTTTGTGAGAAAAAAATACAACCTCTTCCAAAGGAGAGAGAATTCTGTCCCTAGAGCAACATCAGCTCTTCCCTGAGCTCCAGTCTGTCAACCTGCCCTGCAGATTTTGCACTTATTAACCTCTACAATCTTGTGAACCAATTCTTTAAAGTAAATATCATAATAGATGGACAGATAGGCAAATAATAGACAGACATCATATTGGGTGTGTTTTCTGGATAATCTCGAATAATACATCTGCATACAGTTGAGCCTCTGTATCCATGAGTTCTGCATCTACAGATTTGACCACTGTGAATCAAAAAATATTTTTTTAAAATTGTATCTGTACCAAACATATAGACTACAATGTCATTATTCCCTAAGCAATCCAATATGCCCACTATTTACACAGGATTTACATTAGATATTATAACTCTAGATCTAGAGATGATTTAAAGTATGCAGGAAGAGGTACACAGGTTACATGCGAATACTACGGCATTGTATGCATTCTTGTGTTGTGGTATCTGTGGGGGTCCTGGAACTAATCCTTGTCAGACACCAAGAGATGACTGTACTGTGAGTTTGCCTTCTGTCTATTGTGACTGCTTTTACTCCTCTTGAAATAAAAGTCAAAGCCAAAGAAAGGCATATTGATACTAATGGTCCAGAGAGTGAGTTTTTGCTAACAAATCAAAAGATTACATTGTCTTGTCAACATAAACTCTTAGAAGAATATTCTTATGGTAGAAACAACAAAAGTCATGCCCTCTCCTGCACAGTCGAGCTGCCTCTGGGAAGTGGAGAGGCTGTGCCTGTTCCAGCCTCCCTTGTAATTACACAGGGTCCTATGACAAGTTCTCCCTATGGTTTGATGTGCAAGGTATGAGCACCACTTTCAGGCCAAGCACATGAGCACAGACATTCCATGCCCATTCTTTATGTCCTCTTACTGCATTCCAGAGGACTCCAGAAGCCTACAAAACAGAGGAGTCCCAGATGGAAGGAACCACATGACATAAGAAGCTGCCTGTGGAGGAAGTGGCTACAGAGTGCAGTACCCTTCCCAGACAGCATCTAGAAGCAAACTGGAAGTGTGCTAAGCTGTTCAAGGTCTGGGGCCTATTGCAGCAGCTAGCATTACCCGAATAACACCCCTACCTCCCTAAGGAGGGCAAAGAAGTCAAGCAGAATGAGCCCCTTCCACTTCTGTCTAGGGCTTGGGAGGAAATTGACCAATGGAAAGTGAACGTGAGCACCTTCCAGAGAGCAGCTGGTCCTAGACCATGCACCCCCAGCCACAGGACTGGGGAGAGAGCACTTAGAACATTCTACCTTAAGTAGGTCCAACTGTGATTTGTCCCTCCCTCCTCCTATAATAAAGCCCCAAGACCCACCCTACTCCTCTGGCCTCCCCAGGACACACTTGGGCCATGTTCTGAAGGAATCCGAACTCCTCATCAATTGTAAGCAGCATGAATCTTGAAAATATCCAGCCTCATAAGAATCTCCACCCTGGGGCCAGAGCCAGGAGTGGTGTGAGGGGGTGGGTAGGTGCCAAATGCCATTCCTCTCTTGTCTTGTCATCACATACCCACTCTAAGGAGAATGCTTTTCTTCATTAGGTGGCTCGCTTTGCAGGACTCAATGTCTCCACACCATGGGGGCATATGACGGGGAATGGAGCAGGCTGTCCGCATGTTCCCAAAGGCGGCACAAAAGCCCCATCCCCACACAAGCAAAGATGTCATCCCAACAGTCGTTAGCATGTTCACTGTCATTCCATTCTGCATCAAGCATCAGCTTCCTGATCCACAATCTGAGACTGTTCCCAAATACTCCATTGAGGAGCAGGTCAGGGTGTGGGAGGATATGGATGAGGAAGATGCAGTAGATGCTGATGTTTGTTAAAGACAAATAAAGGGTACACAGAGGTTCACTATATTAGTCCTTCTACTTTTGTGTGTATTTGAATACTTCTATATAAAAACATTCATTAAAAGGAAATGTCAATAAGACACACATGTGTAAATACTGAATAGTTTCTCAGGTGTGAAATACTACAAGTCTAAATAAGGTTCAAATGATATAACTGATATTGTGAAATAGGAATAAAACGTCTGAAGGAGTTGGGGAAGTGGAAAAGGTAGGGGAAAGGAAAGAAGGGAAACAATATGAGAAAAGGAAAAAAATGGAAACAAAGTCTCTGTAAATAGGAAGGGTGGAGGGGGTGAAGGGAGGGCAGGGAAATGGGGAAAAATAAGAACTAAGATACATCATGTAAAGTTACAAGATCCCAACAATGAATGTAAATGTATTTTATACCTAAAATGTACCAATAAACTTAATGAAAAAAAGAAATGTTTTCTATAACCTATAACAGAGAGGAAGTGCAACTGAATTCAATACCACCTGTCTCTTCCCTAATATTTTTTCAAGATGTCATGGTTATTCTCCACAAACAAATTCACTTTTTTTCTCTTTCCATTAACACTTAGTACATGTCATTATCTCCCAACTCCAATCACTTAAAAATTAGATTATAAATAATTGATTAATACAAAAGGAAAAAAAAAACCGCCATGCTGTCATTTTCATTATGCATCAAGACCAGGAGAATCTCTTCCTCTGATACACACACACACACACACACACACACACACACACACACACACACATCAGTACATTAATCCATATGCTGAAAAAAACAGGCATGCAAATCAATAGACTCAGGACTGTCCGGGAGACTTTTCAGAGGGAAAAACGATTGTCCTCTCTCCATTTGCTGTGTGGGTCCCTCCTCAGCACCATGGCCAGCAACTCCTCTAGTCCCGCAGTTACCTTCAGTGTACCCTCTTAGAACTTTGGCTTAGAATGTTAGCCTGTGCATTACATGTTGTAGGTATTTAACTTTGGTTTTTTATTTTTATAGGGGCTCACAGCTAAGAGTTTGCCTTGAGTCTCAGAGGAGACTTTGATCTTGGACTTTTCACCAATGCTGCAATTATTAAGAATTTGTTTACTGTTAAAGATGGACTAAATTCTTTTTGTATAATGAGATCGACATGAACCTTTTGGAAGCCAAAGGTGGAAAGTTATGGTTTAGATCTAAAATGTTCCCTAAAATTCTCATATTTGAAGGTGGGGCCTTGGAAGGGACAGGTCACTGGGGGGTATTCCAGTCCCCAGCACCTCCCTTTTCTCTCTTCTTCCTGGTTGTCATGTAGTGAACAGCTTTCCTCCACCACGCCATTCTGCCATGCATTTCTAGCTTGGACAATGGACTGAATCCACTAAAACTGTGAGCCAAAATAAATTTCTCCTCCTTTAAAAAAAAAAAAGAACTTTGGTCTCCAAAGCACACAAAAACTCAACACTTCTTAAACTCAGATACACCATGTGCTATTCATGTGGCCCTGTGTAAGCACATATACATGCATGAACAGGCCTTAGGGGCTAGGGGAAATGCCTGCATCCACACTTTTAAAATGTCTTTGTTCACAGCACATCCTCAAGGGAGGGCACCAAAATCCAAACAAACAAGGAAAGGATGTGATATGCACAGCCTAGGAGAACACTCAGGGAAAACTCAGAAAAGTGCAATGTGGAGGATGCACGGTGGCTCCAGAGAAACTGGAATTCTCTGCACCACTGCTTCTGCCATGCTCACTCCTCGGCGGCAGACAGACCCTGGCCAGGGTCACTCTGAGATCCATGTGTCACTTACCACAAGGGACAGAGGCCTCTTCCAGGAGACGACACCGATGAGTCCTGACAGCAGCACCTGGAATGACAGGTGGTACACAAAGGTGAGGCACTCTGGAAATCATCCAGGAGCATCACATTAACCTCACCCCTTTCCCCTAGTGAAGGGTGTCCAGGATCTCACACAACACAGGAGTGGGTGGCAATCAGCTGTGTTTCCCCTCCGGATGTTCACAGGCTGCAGCTGCACCAGGAGGCACAGCTGGCTTCTCAAGCCACCAGGGCACTACAACAGTGATGAGAGTCCTAAAAGACCCTCCACCATGCTGCTTGGTCCACCCTGGTCCTCTACATTATGTGGATGCGTTCTTTAAAGTCACAGAGAAGGCTGAAAACACTACATGGGTGACAAGCAAAGCTAACCCCACTCCTCGACCACCTGGCCACATGCGTGGCTGTGCCCATTACAAAGTCTCCTCTTTCTAGCCCCTTTCAATCACAGCCAATTCCCCACCTCACTAATAAGCAGTGTCTTCTTAGAAGGTTCTAAAACTTTCTACACCCTGATTATGAGCACCACATCCCTTTCCTAGGGCCAAGCAATGCCCCATGCCCTTCCAATTCCTCCCATTTCCCTTATCACGTAGATGTGCTATGTGGTGTCTCCCTTAGAGGAACCTCTGCTCACTTGTCCAGCTCTAGGGCTTCCTTTCTCTCAAGTCCAGGCTCCTGAGTCAGCCACTGGCTTGATCCCCACATGCCTTGTCTTCATATCCAGTTATGCCCAAGGGATCATGGAAACATAATTCCCACCTACTAACAGAATATCTTGTTCCCAAGATCACCCTGGAGGTCACCAAATGCAACAAAGTCCCACCTTGATCACTGCAGAGCTGGCCACAGGATCCACTATGGGACCCACTCCCCCAGGGTCCTGAGGGTCACTTCCTTGATGTTCTTCCTACTGCCTGGATGCTCTTCTCCTCAGCCTCCCTCTAGCTTCCTCTTCCCATTGCCCAGATCCAAGATCTTGGTCTCCTGTGTCCTTTGTCTCCTTCCTCATTGCTCCCTAGGAGACAGCTATCACAAGGCTCCTGGAACCCCATCCTCTGGCATCTCTTGCAGCCCAGAGCTCTGCCCTGACTGCTGAGTGTCACACTGTCTACTTAGCTCTGCTCCAGGTGCCTGCCACTCTCCATCCAACATGCCCAGAAATGCATCTCCTGCTTCCACCTCCCAGACCCAGTTTTCCTCTTGTAATCTCAACCTCACTCCTTCCTGGCCACTCAAACCCAAATCCTCTCTCTCATTCCTCATATTCAACCAGAGCCAGGGAGGGATAATGGCTTGCTTTTCAATAGGGTGATGTGTCAGGAGAACCATTATAAGTAAGGTGAGTTCTCCTGGGAAGAAGAACTACTTGTACCTGACTGAGAGCAGGGGCCATACAGCCGGAAACCTGCTGGTAGACCTTGGCTGCATTTCCCCTGGATCCTAAAGGGACCGTCCAGACCCAGAAGCAGCACACTCCTGAACTGACAGGCTCACAAGGTCACAGACCTTCCCACCCAAGCCCTCACTGCAGTGTGCAGGACCAGGTCTTACATCCATCCTATCCAGTGTACAGGGATTCTCCAAACACAGTGTTGACTGTTATTTACAACCATTTCCCTTATCTCCGTCGTCCACTCTTAAGGACATTGCCCAGCCTCCTGTTCCTTGTATTCCAGCTCCACCACTATGGAAATCCTTGATTGATATCTCCCATATCTCTCTGCAGCTGTCTCCTTATTCTTTTTCAAAGCACCACTAGAATCTCTGGACTTGTACACCCAATGCATGAACATTCAAGACAGCCTCTCTGGGGTCAGATTCATCACCCTCAGCAGGTACACCATATCCCCAAAATCATTTTGCCATCAGATTTCACACCATTTCTCAGACGGGTATATTTAGGATGCCCCCCAGTATCTCATGCTTGACAATTTAGATTCCAAATTCATTTCTCCATCTCCAAATCTTCCTCTTTCAGCCAATTTGAGAATCCTGCCAAGAATGGTGTATTTTCTGAGCTCACTGTATATATAGTTCAGTAGCCCTGTCAGTCATAAAGCTCTTCTGGACCAGTTCTTCTGGATGTCTCTCTGCATGTTCCCTTCTTTCCCCTCTGCTGAGACAGTCTTATACTTTCCCAGGCAACAGCACTTGTCACTCCACTCTGCCCTCAGGATGAACTGTCCTTATAAGAAAAGGTCTTCCCCTGTCCTTCCCACCCTCCATGCATGTGTGCCATGGGAGCATCCAGAGAGATGTGGCCGTCTACATGCCAGAAGAGAGCCTCCCCAAAGCTCGTCATGCTGGAACCCTGGCCTTGGACTTTGCAATCTCCAGAACTGTGAGAAAAAAAATTTCTGTCATTTAAGCCATGCAGTCCATAGTGCTTTGTTATAAAAGCCTGCTGTGGATTATATCTAGGTGTTCCCCCGACAGCCTCATGTGCTCATAGGCAGAGCCCTGCTAAGAAGCTTTTCAAAGCCCAGGCACTGGGTGTTTCCCCTTTCAGGACACCTGCTCTGGTCCACTGAAAACAGAGGCTAGCAAAGCAGAGCACATAGCTCAGAGCCATGGTAGAAAAGAAGTTTAAAGCCCTTGATCTGAAATGATTAGGTTTAGCTTGAACTGTTTTTGCTCAATTCCAGCTACCAGTAAGGATTATATCACATAGGCAGACAACTCAATAATTCTGCACGTTTATTTTTGTACCACTCCTGTGAGGGAAAAGGGTCGTGAATCTAGTTAGCTGTGAAATTGCTATCATGAAATCTTTGTCACACTGATTTACCAGTTTTGTTATTCAAAGCCCACCATTTAGAAACGACATACAGAAACTGAAGAGGGACACATCAGAGTATCATATAATTAAACAGTTTGAAAGAAAGGTCAAAGAACACAGAAAAGGCATGATGCTGCACAAACAGAGGGGGCTTAACTTTTCAAGCATTCCGAGCTGTTATACGGACACCAATGCTCTCTTCTCTCCACTTCCCAATCCAGCCTAGTAGAGGCAAGAGACAAAATTAGAAATGAGACAGAACTTCTGCCGTCCAGGGTGATGGAAGGGGAGGATAACAGACTACCAGGAAGTAATGGCCTCCTTAGAGCCAAAGACCTTTCCCATTTGATTACTACCACTGCCTGGACACAGAGGCTTCAAATAAATTATCCTTTTAAAGTCTTGGTCCATAACACTGAAAAGCTCTTTCTCTACCGATCAAGATTTTTTTTTTTCAGACCATCAAATCTTGTTCAAAGGCAAATGGTAAGGCAAGATTTTAGGTAGTGCAGCAAGTCCTTCTAGAATGCCAGCTTGACAGCCAATGCAATTACAAGGCACATGGCAGGTGTGCCCAATAGCTCCTGTGATGCCAATTTAGCACTAAGATGCCACTGTTTGCTGTGTGTCTGGGGAAATAATGGTTGTTGCAATAATGGAGAATAATATTATGAGCTGCTGGGTTTCAAAGAAGTCTACTGAACCCTGTCTTCCCAAGTCTTTCGACCACAGACTCTTCCTCTCCACTGCACAGTCTTCCTTCAGCCTCATGGAGTGCTTGGCCCATCTACTTTACCTTACTGCCATTTTCTTTTCTCCCTGTGTGCCTCTCCCTGCCTGGGTCTCACAGGAACCACATGATAAGGATCAACAAGGTGTGCAGTCCTGCAACCTCTGTGTCCTCCTCTGAGGAATACACTCACCATCATCCCAACCTTGTCCAGTGTTCTGCTTCATCCCCTTGGAACAATTCTCTTCCAACATTTCACTTCCAGCCTGTGGTGCCCACTCCCTCCACACCCTTTCCTCTCAGGAGCTGTGTCAATACACCAGATGCATCATGCGCCCAAGGAAAGTCAGCTCTCAACTACTTCCCCCATGGTAGAAGATCTCTAGAGCGTTCCTCCTTTCCTCAAGCAGTACCAGAACTATACAGTGATGCCAAAGATGAAAGAAAAAAGATCAACTAATATTAAAGTGCTTAAAAATATTCTAGGGTTGTGGGAACAGCTCAGTGGATAGCTTGCCTAGCACACGGGAGGCCCTGTGTTTGACCCCCAGCACCACACACACACAAATTCTAAACAACTCATGAACCAAGACAAAGTCAAAGTGAGACATACTACCGTGTGTCCTGCTGCAATGTATGTTTCTTTGATGGAGATTAATGCTCATGTGCTTGGAACCAAATTCATCTGTCTTTTCCCTGCCCTGTGAGACAACACCTTCTCATAGGGCTGTTTACTCTGAAATTAGAGTAGTTACTAGACTCATTCCTGGGTTTTGTTATTATATGAGTTCACAAAGTAGCATGCATAAGCCAGGCACCAGGACACACACCTGCAAGTCCAGCACTCTGGAAGGATAGGGTAAGATTGCAAATTTCAGCTGAGTTGTAGTAACTGAGCAAGACTTTATCTCAAAATAAAATAAGTAAATTAAAATGTGGCTCAATGCAAAATACCAAAACAAAAGCAATGAACAAAACCCCACAAAGTAGTATATACATCATAACAGATTTTATAAATATTTTGATTTTTAAAATTTTTGAAATCAGTTCCTGTGTAATGCTATTGTATCTTTTTTTTTTGGTACTGGGGATCAAACTTGGGACCTTGTGCTTGTGAGACACATGCTGGAACGGAACCACTGCGCTAAATCTCCAGCCCAGCTATTGCATCTTATTTCATACAAAACAAAACATTCTGAGAGGGGGTCTGCAGGTTTCACTAGGCTTCCATGCTGAGAGTTATTAACCCCTGATTGAAAGTCCCTTTAGTGGAACTCTTTTGGTAATCAATTCTCATTTTTGTTAATTTATACATGTCTTGTTTTTCCCTCAAGCTTGAAAGATAGCTTTGTAGCAACACAATTCTTTAAGTCCTTTCTTTCAGTTCTATTGCAAATATCACCAGAAGTGGAAATGCAGGATCAATGGGTAATTCTACTTTTCATTTTTTGAAGAACTTGCACACTGTTTTTCACAGTGATTGTAGTACTGTTTTACATTCCCAGCAACAGTGCAC